CAAAAATACGGCCAGCGATTCGAGATATTGCCTTACGAGTAGTGTTGTAAGGATTGTAGCGTCCCGCCTACAGCTCCTGCATTGTTTTCTGAAATCCAAATTTTGGTTCACCATCCCTTTAACAAGGCTTGCAAAAAGTGCCACGCTTACTGGGGGTATGCTTGTTCCTTGGAAAGGTTACATGATGCCTTATAAGCTAAGGCAGTCAATGTGAGCTCTGCTCGCCTAGCACGGCGCTTTTCGACCTGTATGCGGAGCTGGCAAGGCATTGGGAAGTGGGAGTGGTGGAGAGAACAGCCGGCACTCTCCATTTGTTTTCTCTCAATTACTCCCCCGTTTGAGAACAGCGGTGCTGCCACCAAGCAGCTCCTCTGCTGCATTGTGTACCACTGAGAGCAGTCGCTCTGCCGTTGAGACTGGATGCTCAGAGTCACAAATCTGCGAGCGCTCACTATTTGCAAGGCGAAGGTGCCCCAAGTTGAAACCAGGTTAGGCCTATGCCTTATAGAAAAATTAAAGCAAAGCATCTGGCCACTGCATATTTCTGTTTGCACGATGAAACACTTTGAATTTCAGCCTACCACTACCGTGTTCACACCAACATGGGGCTTTAAGGCTGGCTCACCCATTTGTGTCAGTTGATTACCTCACGAAACTACCTCTTGTATTGCTTGCCAGATTCTGCACTGCAAACAGTTGTCCTGGTAGCTTTGTTGTTGCTGTCGATTTGGTTGCTGAGAACACCTCCAACGTATCTGAGTCACAATATCACTATTATGTTGTCTTGGGTGCAATACCATATTCTGGTATTGCAGCCAACTAAAAAATCAAGGCATTTGATTACCCATTATAAAGTGTTGATTCATATCTTTTTTTGCATAAATTAGGTTCAGAATCGCCGATGGAAAAGAAACGGAACAGGTTGGCTGCCACTTACGAAGAAATGCATACAAAAAAGGTACATAGGATTAGAAACATAAAAATTATTAGGTACAGTACTTGCATTTCTTTTAAAGTTGAGTTGTGTTTTATCAGGTTTACTTGTGCTTTTGAAGTCTAGAAGTAAATTGTATCATAAAGCAAACTAAAATATTTATCCTCTTGTATGTTTGTATGTGTGTGTGGTTGTTTATCATTATTTAATGATGCACTTTAAAAATCCCCAGACTATCAGTAATACTTCGCTGGCCTCTACAGCATGAAACATTGTTGATATACTTGAAGTAGAGGTCTGCAAAGGTACAAGCCGGCTCGACCTGCAGGCCAGGCTGGAGCTTCGTGGTTGCAATCGTAACTGGCTCGGGCCTTACATTTATGTCTACAAGCTGTGTCAATGCGGACCAAGCCGGTCCTGAATTATTTTTAACACAAATGTTTTGCACAATCTGCTTGCGAAGGTTGTGAGAGGGGAGACCATAATGGGGGACAACTCAGATGTTAGAAACATAGGTTTCTGCCACTGCGGTCTCTCCTCTCCAACTCTTTTACAGCACCAGCAGAGCTGTGGTTGTTTCTATCGCGGGCGGTGCCACCGTCATACAATAATTTCTTCCATCAAGTAATATTGACTCATGCGGACCTCTACCTCAAAGGCAAACCAACCTCACACTGTTTCAACACTTCAGTGAAATTTGCTTTGCTTGCCCTTAACCACCATACAGTATTCTCCCCGTTAAGCCACCTGTTGGGAGGGGTCTGGGGCTGGCTGGCTATGCACCTCATCGTCTAATTGGCGCTTATTGTGACAATTTCCAACGTGAATTTTAGAAAATGTGCGACATGAAAAAAATTCCTGTTCATGTAGGAGCACATTAAAATGGTTATAGTACTCACACAGGATTGACAGCAGGGCATTTGGCTGCTGCGATGTCTCTGCTTATGTGAGCAAGCATGTGATTACAAACATGCCAAAGCTACCTTTTTCGTGTGCATGGTTGGTGGTGTTTGTGCAGCAGCCAATATGTCATGCTTGAAGTTGTGTATAGCTTTTGCTCTGCTGCGTGCTCAAGGCTGAATATAGTACAAATATAACAGTTGGCCATGTCCTAGCTAGTTCTTGCATCTTGCTAGTTCTTGTATTATGGGGGCGCTGCAATTATATTTACGCGTCTACTTTTTTTGCGGTTTCCATATCCCTTGGGGTTCGAGCAAGCCGGTGGGCACGGAGAGAGTAACTAAATATCAGTGCGTCATATTTTAACTGGACGAGGCGGAAACCTCCTCCACCTACGGGGGCGACCTGTGGTGCCGAAAACTTGCGATGTGTGACGTCTTTGGTCCGGGGTTTACTGCTGGTCAGAGCCGCCAGAAGCTTCTTTTTTGTCAAAATACAAAATATAAGTGACACGAAACGTTTCAATTATTTATAAAAGCAGTTTTTGTTTACTATTTTAGATCAGAAAAGAAACAATGCAGTTAAGAAAGTATGGAAACAAGAAATGACCTGTCGATATACCCGCCACCAAGCTGTGGAAATGGCGGCGCATACTAGAAAGGTGTGGTGGGATCAAGCACCGACGACTTGAAACCATAGAATGGTCCCGGATGTATGCGGCAGCGCTGCGCTCGAGGATCCGACCGGTTCCGAGCGTTCCGAAGGCCTTCGGCGAGCAGCTTTCGCTTGCGGTTTGACCATTTGGCGGTATGGCAGCGCGAAGTGGCTCCCGTTCTGAAGTGACCTTTACCCCGTGTTTGCTGTCGTTTGTGGCCAATGAAGTGTCATGCCGAATTAGTGTTTAATCGCGCAGCAAATGCAATGCAAACTGCTTTGGCTGCCCGCTTCATACAGCCTAGCCAGAACATGCTTTAGCGGCGCCCTTTCAAGCCGTCGACACGGAGTGCGGCAGCCGTGAGCGCTCGCTGAGCTCACTCTAGTTCACGGCCACTCAAGCAACCAAGGACGTCATGAAGGAGGTTATTTGTTGCTGGTTTTTGTAATTTTAATTTGCCTCTAACTTTTAAAATACAGCGAAATTCGAGAAAAGAAAAGTTGCATTAAGTTACTACGCTAGTGCGCTCAGGTTCAGTGCAAATTAAAAATCAGTAAAAAAGTCCTTGCAGGGCCTTTTTAAAATAGGTACCAGAGGCCAGATTCATGAAGAGCTTCTTAGCTAAGAAGTTAGTAAATTATGCACATCGTAAGAAGTGAAGAAACCAATGATATTGTATGGGAAAAAGAGAACTTCTGGTGTATCGCAAGTTCCCTATTACTGTGAGAGCAGACTGTTGCTGTATGCCGAGGCACTGAGGGAGAGGAGGAGGCGAGAGCGTGCGGGGATGTCAGGATGCCAAGCTCTGGTCGGAATCAACGGTTGGAACGATTGGAACCATCACCTGGTTGATTTTTCTCCAGGTTGCACTTAGAGTTGAAATGTATGAATTAGGCCACTGCACTTCAAAGAACTGTTCAAACCTTTCTTTTTTTTTTGCCTGTTTATCTTTTTATATTTCAATTTTTCAGGTACAATATTTTGTAAATTATATATCCAAGGCGAGGGGTTGAAGTTTAAAATAAATTATTGTTTTCCAGACGCAGTGCTGCAGTCATGATCAGAAAAACGATCAGTTGCGGAAGGAGGTGACCAGGCTGGAAGCTGAAATTGCAAGGCTTCAGAGGGAACTGGTCGTACGTGAGGAGAAGCTTGCTCGGGCGGAATCTATGCTTGGTATGAATTACGAAATCCCTAATCAGTTTCCATGTGCCGTAATGTGAGTGCACTGGGTCGCAGGTACTGTCCCGATACATTGAAATTCAAACAACGGAGCACATGGCTTTCGGTACATGCTTGTACAGTAAGGAAGGGAACTGGGATTTGCGGTCAATTTTTATATGCCTCAACCATTGCTTAATATGTGAGCGCTATGACAGCGCGCCGGAGCGCTGGAGGCACTGTCCTGGGGATTGCACGAGTGGTGTGCAATCACCAGGCCATTCACAAGCTTAAATGCGCCAACAACTTTTTGTTTTTCTTTGCTTGAGTTGTTGGGGCAGCATTAATAGCATGCTTTGAACATCAAGGTAATTCTTGGTAATTAAACACAATTAGACATATCCTATCCCAATATTTTTTTTTCTTTAAAGCATGCCACGTTTTTGAGAAGAGCAGGACAGGGGCTTTTGTTTAAAGAATCTGACTTCGTCTCCCTCAAAAGCATTAAAGCTGCGCTGTGATGAGGCCACCGTAGGTGAGAAGTGACCGAGTCTATACAAAACAGCTGCCTGTTTAACGTGAAGAGCTGAGCTCCTCAAAGTGTCCCTCATAGTCGCTGTAATTAAAGGGGGGTGCAACGATTTCCGGACATTTCTGGAAGTTGCCCTCTGACACTTCTGAAGTAAAGAACAGAAACCCGTTTTCGTCTGCGTGTTCTAGTTGTTGCGTAAAAAAAAAAAAAAAAAAGATAAATTTTGGCATTTCGGGCACCCCTTTAACTCACTCCCAGTCTTCAGGGTCACACCTGGTCGCACTCCTAGTGACGTCATTCGGGGTGCCGTGTAGCTTCCCGTGTGCTCTCTCAGAAAACGCTTCCTCTCCCTCTCCCTGCTGACATTAGCGGGCGTTATGCTGCAGCTTAGAGCCGAACGAGTTCACGTAATCTTTTTGCTGTACTTCCTTCGGCTGCAGTTGGGGGAGAAAGCTCGACTTTTGCTTTGCATTATGCAGCGGAATCGCGACATTTTTAATGAAGGAGATGTTTTCTGTATTCTCTAGGACACAATAAACAATGTAAAAATGACGATATAAAAATTCTTTTAATCTTAAAATCGTGTCTCGAGTGATCTTAGTTGGTTATTGCAGATAGTCCTTCAATTTATTCCTGGAAATTGGTTGAATGAATTTCTCTCGTGACAAACTCAGCACTGCTTCTTCAGAAACATTTCTTGCATTATTTTTTATTTTTTTGGACCCCTCGCGTCCACATTTTTTTTCATGCTGCCCAGAGTTGTATTTGGCGCAGTCCCCTCTAACTCGGTTTCCCATTGTTTTTCAGACTTGCAAAAAATGACGAAGCGAATGAAGCGGTCGCTAGTAATCGCTGAAGAATTATCCTTACGTCCAGCAGCTGCAGAAGCACCTCCACCAAATGTTGTCCCGTCAGTCCAGGTTTGTGCATCGTCATTCATATATATGGTGCTTAAAATGCTGAGGCTCGATCTAAACTGGGCTGCAAAAATCTGTGCCTGCACGTAACAATCAACTTTTCGTCAAAGGTACATTTCACAGGCGAGTTTCAGCTTGCAAAATTACAAGGCATAGCTCTCTTTTTGTAAAAAAATAAGGCCAGAAAATCAGGTTGAATGGCGGACGGTGACGCTGACGACCGAGTTCAGTGGCGGCGTGAGTTTGGCGCACATACTGATAGATGGCGCTACCTTTTAAAAATATTGAGGCTGCCCGCGACGACCGTTGTTTTTTAAAATGAACATTATCTTTTTGTAGTGTACCTTTGGTTTAAAAATAAATGCAGAAAATGATAACAAAACTTGAAGTAACAAAAATAAAGAAAATGCTGTCGCATAACAACGGCGCTCTTGTTGCTGAAGGATTTCGTCTGCCTGTCGTCTGCTTTCTTTTGCTGGTCGGCTACACTTGCGATGCTGCTCCCGAGGTAGCTCCTTCTATCAATATGTGCGCCAAACTCGCAATGTCACTTGACTCGGTCGTCTGCGTTGCCATCCGCTGTTAACCCTGGCAAGCTTTTAGCCATATTTTGTACAGAAAGGAAGCTATGCATTGTAATTTTACAAGGTAAAACCACCTGCGAAATACACCTTTCACGATAAGGTTTGATCGCTATGTGCAGGCGCTGATTTTTATGGCCCAATGTCGATCGTGCCTCGGCATTTCAGACATTTTACATTTAGTGGGAACAGTCCTACAGGGAATATAATTTTTGTATGTTATTATTTATGTTAAAAGAAGGCACTGCGTTTTGGTATCAATAATTTGCATGGATGAAGCCAGAAGTTGTCGACTCATATAGTGCAGTTTTAGGACAACTGACAAAGCGCCTTTTGTGATCATTTCTCTATAGTGAATTGAGTGTTGTTTCGTTGGAGGTGGTGTTCAGTAATTTCCCTATGTCAGGTGAAATGGCTGAGCATGCATATTGGAATAATGGGTCTTGAGAGCTTAAACGAGTAGTTGGTATGTTGAGAGGCTACTAGATAACAAACGTTCTAAGTAATTGGCAGCCCTACCTTGGAGGTGGGTTCTCGAGAGCCTACTTTAGACATTCAAAAAGATGGTAGCGATTGAGACGATTCCTAAGGAGACTGGACAACACGAAAGCGCAGACTGACAACCGGCGTTCTTGGAACAGTGAGACCACATGCTTAACAGGCATGCACGACATCACCAGTTTGTTTCGAGGCTGCACTTATACACCCTTGGAAATACATCTCTCAACTTTGTCATTCAGGGCGCACCTTGAGACTCTTTGGACAAGGCCCTTTAGTTCCGAAGTACCCAACTTTCGCTCAATGGCAACCTTCGGCCCTACAGCAATGTACCTCTTCCACATACCGACGGCACCAGGCAGCGACTGCACGAATTAAAAATCGAGGAAGTGACCTACATGCACTACCAATCGATAATGGGAGCTACGCTACCAGTTACTTCGCTCTCTGAGCAGCGGCGAGTGCCCAACGCAACTTTAAAGAGGGGCATCCGTTGCGTCCACCCAACGTCCACTTTCTTTTGTTGTGTAATACAATTATATACAGTAAAACCTTATTAATTCAACCCCCGCTAATTCGGAAATTCGAATAATTTGAACTGCCGATCCGGTCCCGTCAAACGTATGTATTATTCAATGGCAGCAAACGCTCATTTATTGGGAGGGAACATGGTGCGATATGTTTAATTCGGACAAATTCGGCAGGTGGCGCTCGCTACCGTTCGTTCCAAAGGGTATGACTGCTATTCATCCAAGGTGCACTTGTATTTTTTCTGGTTTTCCCATGGTTCTTCGCTCTTCCGGTTCTCCGTATTTCGCACCAGTTTTGCTGTTTTGCTCTGTATTGCCGTGCTTCAGCGTGCTACCCTCCTAGCATGAAAGCGGCAGGAGCTTAGCTGCAACGGAAAAAAAGGTAGCACAAGTGACCGACGACCGGAATGGAAAAATCGCGACACGCGGGGCTATTGTTCCCAAGCGCGCCGATAGCGAGAGTGACAGTCACGTTTCATGCCTCCACGCGGGGATCCGAAAGCCCGCCATTTTAACAGCTATCTTATCCCTCAATTTTTCGCCGCCAGCCCCGCTTTCAAAAATGCAACGTGACTGGCACTCTCGCTGTCGGCGCGCTCGGTAAAAATAGCGCCGGGTGTCGCAATTTGGCGCTCCGGTTATTGGTCAGTTGTGCTACTCGGTGTCCGTTGCAGCTGTGCTTGGCTAAAAATTTAGTGACGAAAGTGAAAATACTGAGGGTTTCGAAGGACGGCGTCTCTAGACAAGTGATGGAAAGTTACGACGTCAAGAGAAGCAGTTTGGCCATGTACGTGAAAATTGAGGCCGATATCCTACGGACTTTCGAGAGCGAGAAGTTCAACGCGAAAAGAAAGCGGCCGTGGAAGGTGGTGCAGCCGAAACTAGAAGAGGCCTTGCTGTGCTAAATCGTCAGCGCACAGGATGCGTAGCTCCGACAGTGCGAGTGCGGTGGAGCACTTGACCGCACTAAGGAAAGTTGCCGTCTCCGCCCTAGTGTCATCCAGCGGTAATAGCAGGCGGTAATAACAAATTTCTTCTCAAAATAAAGGTATGTCACAGGGAAACGTTTTCGCGCAGTTTTCTTTGTCCTTTTGATATTTCGACTTTCGAATAATTCGGACATTTCTGCCGGTCCCATGAGATCTGAATTAACGAGGTTTTACTTTATATGCTGCAATTACGTGTTCCACTCGCTGATCCACAGCCTCCTTCCGAATTTCCTCGGGTTTTTGTGCCGACTTCCGCCACTTGGCATCGGGCGCTTGCGCGTGCGCAGATCGCTTCTCGGAAAAGGTCCATTACATGTCTAGTGTCGTCAGGAAGGTGCACTTAACTCACAGTCTTGACATTGCATGTTGCCAGTGGACATTTCTTGGGAATGCCGCCACGGAGACCTAACGACTGCTGCCAAGGGAACTCTGTGTTTTGGTCCACGATGCCAAGGAAATCCCGCAGTCATGTGTTGTCCGAAAGTTACTTGCTGAGGTCTCGAAGAACAGCACAAAGCAGGCTCCTGTAGTCACATCCTTGCCGTTGCCATTCAGGAGCCTGCTTTGTGCTGTTCTTCGAGACCCCAGCAAGCCACTTTCAGACAACAGACGACTGCAGGACTTCCTTGGCATCGTGGATCAGACCATGGAGCTCTTTTGGCAGCGGTCATTACGTCTTCGTGGCGGCATTCCCAAGAAACGTCCGGTGGCAACATGCGACGTCAAGACTGTAAGTAAAGTGCACCTTTCTGACGAGGTTAGACATGTACTTGTTCTGGGCCCGAAGTGTGCCACTGAGCCAAAGTTGAGCGCTCCGGAACCCTGGGGCCTCGTCTGAGGACTCTCTAGGTGTGCCTTGGATGAAGAAGTTGAGAGATGTATTTCTAAGGGTGTAGATATGCTGCCTCAAAACAAGCTGGCGATGTCGTGCATGCCTGTTAAGCGTGTGGTCTCACTGTTGAAGGAACGCCGGTTGTAAGTCAGTGCTCTGTGTTGTCCAGTCTCCTTCTTTGTTCTCATATCAAGTGCTACCATGTATTTGAATACCCAGTACCAACTCGCCCAACAATCTGCATTAATTTAGTCAGTGTGTCCCACTCAATCACCTCTATCTTCAAACTGAATTTAGATTATGCACCAGGAAGTGTCTCCATCTTATATTTGCAGTTTCAGCTGCAGTAATATGTTCGCCAGGATGTGCTGCCTCTCATACCTCATGGATTGTTCTGAAGGTGTCATTTTCTTCAATTGGACAGTCCACTCGCAATTCAGCTAAGAAGGATCCTATAACTTTTTGCAGTTGGACAGATACAAGATTGTTGTTAGTGTCTTCTGACATGAGCAATCTGACACTCAACCGTTGTCTCTAGTTGAGTAAGATGATGAATCGTGTTGATACATAATTTGTGGCACCATGGAATCAAAAAGAGTTCCACTTGCCAGGGCAGGTGTTGGGTGGGGTTATGTTAGGTTCTCTAGCTGCACTTTTCCTCCTGTTCAATCCTCATTCACCTTCTAACTACCCCAGTATCCTCCTCTGCATTGTCTAACAATAATCATATGGTCAATAATATTTTCTTAGCACCTTTGTTTTGTGTGGTGGCTATGTTGTGATATTCAAACGAATAGAAACAAGCTATGTTGATGGGTTTCTATTCTTTGTTTTCAAGGTGGACATAGGAAGTAACGTGCTCGTTGATCAGTACCTGCTTCGCCAGCTTGAATTGACTGAGTCAGCTCCAGGGCCGTTTTCACAAGGCCTATTATGCATCGTATTTACCAAGGAGGAGCGGGCTGGGAAATCGCTGTTTGGTAAAAAATCGAACTCGCATAAAAACGATCCCGTGAAGCCAGGGCTGGACCCTGTGAGAGTTCAAGCTGTGATTGGTAAGTGTGCAACTTTCACGTAGACATTTTTTATTCCCTAGTTAATTGAAATTTCTAACTGTATTTCGGCCAGTGGCAGTTTAGAACCACCAACTGAGGTCATAGCAAGGTCAACCGAGAATGTGCTGCATGACTATTTCACTACCATTGAAATCAAACAGAGTGTAGTATCACATAATCTAAATACTGCAGTAGATCAGGTAGAAAAATTCTTTTTACTATTTGTAGGGATTGAATGCTAGCTATGACATCTTTATGTATGGTAGATCAAAATTATTATCAAAATGAATCATATTTGTGCAGGCAACAAGGGATTTTTAGAATAGGGTCCCCTCAAAATTGAACGCATCCAAACAGCTTGAGGTGTTGCCACTGCACATGTGCAGAACTGTGCATGCGCGACACCCTAAGCTGTCTCGTGGACCCAAAGCTTTGGGGACCCCTATTCTAGAACTTTCTGATGACATGGCAACTACATTGCTTTTGACATAATCAGTGGTGCCGCTCGTGGAGTGCGGTCTTGTCCCTGTTAGCAGCAGCACTGGCACCTTGGCATGTTTCTTCCCATAGCATTTGCTGCTAAGATTCTTTTTTTAGATTTCTCTCCCAGCATTTCAGAAAAATAAGCGCTTTGTTATTGTTGGCGATCAGGTGAGATACCGCTGCGGACGCCATTCTAAACTCTGTTCGAATTAAAGCCAGCCCAAACTGCTAGAAGAAAAACTCAAAATTACAGTCAAGCATGGTATTCTTTTCTGTTAAGAATGTGACCACACATTAGAACATGTGGTGTTACTCATATTTATAACTGAGAAGAAGTCCATGCATTATCATAACTTTTTAATTTTTAGGACACTCAGAAAGTCCGATTCAGTTTGTGCCACAAAGAGGGAAGCCCAAAATTCATAGTAGCGCCTTTTTTATGTTTACTGTGCTGCCTGCAGTTTAATCTGCCGTATAACTGCTCAAAACTGCAGTCAGCGTAATCACAGTGAAAACTGCCCTTGTAATTGAGGTATTAGTTACCGGCTCGGTTTCAAGTTTTGGATAAATACAAGAAACTCGCTGGTAAAAGTTTGGACAATTCGAAATTATTGGATAAGCTCCAAATTTCAAAGTCACAATGGAAAACAATAAAATGGTATTTTACAAATATGTTTGATCATAGACGGTCAGTGGTACCGAGGTGATGCCACCTCAGTTTCCCGTGAAATCTCCGGCTATTGACAAAATGGGGTTTACCGTTCATCTAATCAAAGGTTGCAGGACAATGTGAAGTGCGCACAAACTGGGGACCTTCCCCGAGAACAACTTTGGTGGATTATCCGTGACCGGACGTGGGGACACCGTGGCTAATCTTAATCCTCAGCGCGCACTCCGTTCCAAGGAGACGAGGTATGGGGTCAAGGAGAGGGCTAACTTTCGGCTGTCTGGCGACGCGAGGCTTATTTTTGTCTGGCGCGTTTCCGCGCTTTTTGTGTTGCACGTGCGGATCATCTTCGACGGGTGGCGTCTCCGGGGACTGTAAAAATTGGTGACCCTGACGGGTTTAGAGGTTGGCGTCCGTCAAGGTTCCGGGAGGGGGAAAAGGCTCGAGAACGAGGAGGAGATGAAGAGCGTCACGGAGGTTCCGGAAGGGGAAAAAGGCTCGAGAACGAGGAGGAGATCAAGAGCGTCCCAATCGAGGCCTGCCCCGATTGCCAGGGAGGGAACGAAACGAAGGACTGAAAGGCATCGGCCGTCAGGGCTCGGTGACTGAAGCTTGTCCCGGGACGGACGTCGGCGAGCGACCTGCTGACAAGCAGCCACAGTCAGACCTCACCAGCCCGTGCCGGGTGACAAGCAGCCACAGTCAGACCTCACCAGCCCGTGCCTGCTGACAAGGAGCCACAGCCAGACCTCACCGGCCCGTGCCTGCTGACAAGCAGCCACAGCCAAACCTCACCAGCCCGTGCCTGCTGACAAGGAGCCACAGCCAGACCTCACCAGCCCGTGCCGGGTGACAAGCAGCCACAGCCCGACCTCACCAGCCCGTGCCGTGTGACAAGAGGCCACGACACGAGAGAATGACGTGCAACCTGCCAGGTTCCAAGCGCCGGCCCAAGCGGGTGAGCGGACACCTTACGTCCCCAGTCGGACAATAAACGTCCTAATTTAAATCCGAGTCTCGTGGCATTTCTTCTCCTCTCTACCCCGAAAGGGACCCCAAGGGTGGTGTAACCGCTACCTCCGGTAGCGATCATCACAACAACGAATCATAGTATTTCTGGGTCACTACAGAAGCCACTGTTCCAGTTTCCACTTTGTTCCATATTATTTGTGGTGACTGGAGGGTGAATGTGTTTCATAACAGTGAGAGCTATGAACCAATAGACTTCAATATAGAAACTGAAGCTTTTGTACCAGCCCACCCCGTGGAACTGCATTGCGGATTGATAGAATGGGCAGAGGGAAAACGAGCTTCCGAACATTCAGGAGTCTACTCACAAGTTTTGTCGTGGGACAGTCGGTATTGCACATGGCAGGGGCGTTAATGCTAAATCGAGCTGAAGAAATATCCTTCTATGCAAGTGAGTTGTAATGAATTCAGGAAACGTTTCTGTCTAAATAATAAATATTTTTATAGGGACCATGGCAAAATTAAAACTGGGAATTTTGAATAATTCGGAATCTTAACAAAAATGAACTGACAAACCGAAAAGTTTTGGCATAAAATAAACTTCAAACAACACACAACCTTAGTTACCAGAACCGTAGGGCTTAAGCTTCAAACCTATATGATCTTAAAGTCATCTCTACAGATTAACACACTAGAAATGAGTGAGTGACAATGTTGACTTTACGCTAAGCATTTTGGGCTGCCGTGGTGGCTGCGAGGAGACGCCTGTCCACTGGTTCCTAGTTTACTGCTTGAAATCCTGGCCGACGTGTGCCGGCGGTATGATGGAGGCTTGCAGAAAAGCCAGATTCCATTTGCGTGTTAAAAGGTCCCTATGTGGTGAAATTAATTCACCATTCTTCACTAGGGCATGGCAGGTGACCCTCATTGATTTGCAAGCAAACCTTTAAATTTATCTGTATCACAGCAGATTGTTTCTGTTTCATTCAGAAATCACTAGCATTAGCAGATGTCTTTGATTTAAAATATCCAAAGCATAGGCAGCTGCATTTGGGCAAAAAGAAAACTAAAAGCTCAGCCATCTGCTCTTGGTTAAATATCTTACCAGAAGCGTAAGCAGCTGATGGAATTTTTGAGGAAAGGTTCAATAGACTACTTTTGGGGGTATGGTTTATCAGCAGCCTGCTTCTCATGCACTGCTAGAATTAAATTTTTGGAAGTTTCTTCTAGGCTCAATCTTTGTGCAGTCTTCTGTTTGTGTTAAACGATTGAATAACAACAGAAACTTTAATTACATTTCGGAAAAAGGTCCTAAGTATATTCACTTCTATGTTTTCCTAGAAAAGTTCTCAATAAAACAAGTCTATGCATTGTGCTTGTTGCTAGCATTGTGAAGGCCTTTTTTAGGTGTACTGACTTATACTATAATTAGTCTGGTTTGCCTAATGTTGCTGTTAACACAAGCAAAAAGAGCAATGTTTCTGTTAATTATTAATGCGTACTATTTCCGTAACAGGACCCGACCCGAGACTGCTGTCTTGAAAATTCAATCTTCTCTTTCTAGCGTACACCTGCACGACGTTTCGTGACGTGGAGAAGGTTTCGAAGGGCAGCCTGTCATCACTCCTCTCCAAGACGCCGCCACCTGTCCACAAGCAGCAGTAGTTCCCCTATTCACGTGAGTGGAGCTGCATGCTGGATCCATATTTGCTGGCATTCATTTTTTTGCCATACAAGTTTTGGTACTAGTAAAAGGATGCAAGACTCAGTGCGGCCCTGAGCAACTAGCAAGAGCGCAGAGGCATCAACACCATAAAGACAGCATGGGAGAAGCTTTTTATGAACAAAGCCCACACATATACTAGAGTGTGGAAACACTCTAGTAAATGCGTAGAGTGTGGAAACAGCCGACTTGATGATTCAGCCTGAACTATGTTGACACTTGGTTCCGATAACGTGAAGCTCATGGGGACAGAGAAATGCTTCGAATTAAGCATACTTTGGATAAAAAAACACTCAAATCGTGTATTATTATATATATATTTTTTAATTTGGTAGCTACCTGGAAGAAGTTGATTTTTGCTTCCCTCTACTAATAGAGACACATAGCTAACTATTCTCCGCAAGTTGCAAACCTTTCTCAAGGCTCCTTCAGCATTTTCTTAACCAAAAAGAACGCAACAGAAGTAAATTTTAGTTAATTATTTTACTTATTTTGATTATTAGTCCCCTGTATTATGCTCAGCCGCACAAACCACATCAATATAGTTTCCACAACCCCTTTTAACAAAATTTGTAAAAAAAAAAAAAAAAGATCTTTGTATATTTGACGAAGAAAAGATTTCATGGGGCTTGGTGATGCCTCAAACCAAGCTTTATTGGCCTTGCGCGCTGTGCCTGCTTTCGTATTTTCTGTGGGGATGATGCCGTGATGCATGCGCCTGCTGCCATGTTGGCTTAGCTTGGCCTGCCTGGTGGCCTAGTTGTGCGCCACGCTTGTTCCCTCTTTTTCCCGACCGCATACGCAGTAGGTAATAGCGACGGTGTGTGCATCGGTTTGATTAAATAGATAAATGGGCTAGTTGGTACAACATTGAATGGAAAGCGCCAAACAAACAAGGACGAAGAAGGGGACAGAGACGAAGTCTCTGCTTCTTCGTTCTTGTTTATTCGGCGCTTTCCATTCAGTTGGATTAAAGTTCGGTCAGCATAATCTCGAGTCTTTCATGCTTTCATAGTTGCCAGACTTCTGAAGCATGTTAAAAAAATCCTTCGAATTAACCAGTCCCAGAGGTTAAACTTTGAATTATTTTACATTTTCCCCCTCAGACTTGTATGTGTGATTGCCGGGAGCTCATCCCGTTCCAAACTATCCGAAAATTTGAATGAAGCAACTGAAATACTGAGGGTTTACTGTATTTATGTTTCTCAGAAATACTCGAAGCCAGATATGCTAATTGTGACTTGAAAGTTAGTGTAATATCTGCTGCCCACTCATTTCTTATGTATGGCCAAATATTCAGTCAGTATTTATTAACATTGATACTTAAAAATCACGTGTCGACCACATAAATAAATGCCTGTACTAATTTTTTTTTTATTTCAGCTGCGCACGATGGAAGCGGTTGGAGCTCCCCATCCCCTCTTTCCTCCCCCATGTCTTTTTCTGAAATAAATTATCTTAGGCTTTTTAAATTCAGTGTTCAACCTTTTTTATATTAGAAGATTGGCACTTTCGTTTTAGAAAACTGTGGTTCTCGAAAATGTTGATTTTTGGGTATTTTCAAACTGCTATATAGGTTTAATTTGCAAATTTCCTTAAATTTGATCTTGCCTATCAGTGGTTAATAGAAATCTGTAGGGCAGCTTGCTCTGTGGAATTTAGCTATGGTCCTCCTAGGCTCCTCCTAAGAGCCTAGGATGACCATTCTATTACCTTTGTATCAGCATCCTAGGGTCCTCCTAGAAGCTAAGGATGACCATTCTATTACCTTTGTAGCAGTATCCTATGGGAGTTTGGCTGTGGACGTCCTACGCTCTTCCTAAGAGCCTCCTATAGAGAATATGCTACAGACATCCTATATTTTCTGTATTAACTTTCCATGGTTATCCTACTAACCACTGGACGTCATCTGGTATTAGAACTGTTATAGGCCTAGGCTTCCCATAGGACGTCTTTAGCAGGTCAGTAGACCTAGAATATCCGTAGAATGTCCGTTGGCCAATATTCTATAGGGGATCTTTAGGAGGATGATAGAAAGGTATTAGCATTCATGGCATTCCTAAAGACACCCTATGCTCCTTCTAAGGAAACATCCTATAGACGTTCTACAGAACGTCTATAGGGTGGAAGTACATTTTTTTGTAAGGGGCAACGCAAGAAAGCCCGTTCATTCACGTGGGCGTTGTGCAACTCATCGAAAACTTGACGAACAAGCTGGAAATTATGACGGCGGAATTCAAGTGCCTCAGAGTGGAAAACCGAGGCCTTCGCTCCGAGGTACTGCAGCTCCGCAACACAGTTCTGGACAGGATCTTACTCATATCGCCGTCGCAACCGCGTTATGCAAGTATCGCCACAGGGACCCCAGCTACCCACACACCTGGGCTTCACGCCCCTCCTGCGTCAACGCGGCTCCCGCTGATTTTGCGTCCTCGACCCTCGTCGACGGTTGTTCATGAGCCCGGCCGTTCGTCATCAAGTCCGGGCACAGTGAGTGCTGACGGAAATGATTTCCCGCTGCTGAGTTGTGGATTACGCGGTGACAACGGCCCGAATTCGGCGAGCAGGGTGGGCGACTGTTTCATTCCAGTCAAGCGCCGGCAACAAGCCAAGCCATCGTCTGGCACTGCTAAACCGAACAAGGTGAATGCTGTTTTTCTGACCGTACGCCGCTTCGCTTTGTTTGTGTCTAGGCTCGACCCAAACACATCTGGAAGGAAGGACGGTTGTCTGTTCGAAGATGATAACTAGATTTCCTTAGTACTCGTCATTCCACTTCGCTTGTGACGAAGCAGTGTCTGCAGTGCTAAACGTATCCGAGGTTTGGCCGGATGGCAGTATTTTTCACCAGTTTTTTGGTCGCCTTGATAGTACACGTGTTCAAAACGAGGAAACAATAACACCCGAAAATGGCAACAACGCTTAGTGTTTTCTACCAAAACGTGAGGGGCCTACGTACGAAGGCTGACGAGTTTATGCCGAACCTAGCTACAACTAAGTATGATGTTTGCCTCACGGAAACTTGGCTCTGTGATGGGATACCGGACTCGCACTACTTTACACTTAGCTATTAGGTGTATCGCCGGGACAGAGGTTATCAGACCACTGGACAAAAGTATGGCGGTGGCGTTTTCATTGCCTGTGAGTCATCTCTTTGGTCGCACCGTCGCCCCGACCTGGCATCATTTTCAGAGTGTGTCTGGATAGACATAAAGGCAGGCGATGGCTTTAGCTACCTAGTCGGTAACTATTATTTTCCACCACTTTATGACCAAGCCCTTTTTATAAAACATTTGATAAGATTAGTGAACAAATGGATTTTGCGAAGTACAGAGTACAGGTTTATGGAGATTTTAATCTTCCTGGAGTGAATTTGCCTCTGAGATCTGTTAATGGCAAGAACCTTATAACCGCAAATAAGGCATCCTGTTCATTTTCGTTCATGGACTACTGTGGCCTCCATCAACTGAACACAATCGAGAATAGCGCTGGAAATGTCCTTGACCTCGTTCTATCCAACATCTCAGTTGAATATGTGACCCCTGTTATGAACCCCTTAGTGCTAATAGATGTGTTTCACCCACCGTTCGTAGTTGTATTCTGCCTTCCACAAAAGAATCCAGTATCTCGTGGTCACTCAACCTATCGTTGCGCCAAGGGTGATTATTTGAGAATGTATAAATACTTCCGGAACTTTGACTGGAGCGCGGTTCTTGCCATCACTGATACTGAGTTGGCGCCCGAGACTTTTTCTTCCATTGTTAAAGACGCCATTCATATGTTTGTGCCACAGCGCATTTCTAAGCCTTCAGTTTATCCTGATTGGTTTTCTAAGGATTCAAAAACCTATCTGCGTAAAAAAAACACGTTCATAGACTTTTTCAACGAACTGGTTCAGATTTATTTTACGTCCAGTTTCGCATATATCGGGCTCTAACTAAGAAGTTCTACTCTAGAGATAAGCACTTGTACCTTGATCGAGTAGAGCGCAGCTTGAACCGGTGCCCAAAAGATTTTTGGCGGTTCGCAAAACAGCACACACGTGATACCAACCAAGGGATTTGCCTACGCAACCACTCAGATAATGACAGCTATGTTCCCTTCCCTTGTGAGGTTGCAAATGTTTTGCCGATTACTTTAGCAACTACTGTTGATATCCACGGATATCAAGATCAACTGCCATGACTTTTTGCCTTGTATTAGAGTAGACCTGGAAGAAATCGCTGAAGCCATAAAAAATCTAAAACCTAAGTTATCTTCAGGGGCCGACTCTATCTCATCTCTTATCATCAAGGGGTGTGGTGAACTGTTCATACCCATCTCATGGCATATTTTAACCTTTCTCTTAGTTTAGGAGTTTTTTCATGGATCTGGAAATCTGCGGTTGTTGTACCAATTTTTAAAAGTGGTGATCGATCTATTTCTAGTAACTATCGGCCCATATATTTATTGCCGGGGTTTTCCAAAGTGTTCGAGCGCGTAAAACAGAAACTAATTGTTTTTTTTTACTTTCACCGGAAATTTGATGCTTGCCAGCATGGTTTTCTGACTGGTCGGTCAGTTGAAACTAACCTGTCCTCATTTTTTAACTATTCTGTCCCTGTTATGAGCAGAGGGCAAATTGATTGTATTTTTTATATGTCAAAAGCATTTGATAAAGTGAACCACCAGTTGTTATTACGTAAATTGTCTTTATATGGTTGTTGCGCACAGGGGTGTAAATGGTTCCAAATTTACCTATCATGTCCCAACAGCGTTCGCATAGATAACAGTCGCTCAAAAACTTTCTTTTGCAATTCCGGTGTTCCCCAAGGGTCTATTCTTGGTCCCCTTTTGTTTCTCATTTTTGCAAACGATCTATCGTCCAATGTGAAAAATGCTGAGCTGCTGTTTAAAGATGACATTAAGATATTTATGATTGTTCGTACTCTCGCTGACTGCG